CCTCGACTTCCCAGAATTTTTCGACGACTTGGTGCAGCGGGTCACGATATAATAGAACAAAGTGTGTGAGAAGCGGCTTGCGGAAAAACAAGAGGAGCGTCACCCATAATTAGGTAGCCTAAAGTAGTTTCAAAAGCGGAGGGCATCTTTTTATTTTTGGCGGGTTTAATTTTGTTAAAAAGTAAAATTTCACAGTAAAGATTCACGCCTAAAAGTAGGTCTACAGGCCTAGGCAGTGCAAATTCATCATCTGCAAGTGGCAAGTCGCGAATATAATTTATAGCCGCAGAGTCTACGCGCGAGCTAGGTAGCTCTGACGTAATCTGTTCGACTACCATGGGCTTGATGGAATATTCGCGTTGAGTATCAAAGCGAGACGTAAATTTAAATGTAATGCCTTGAAGGTAATGCCGAAAATCTTTTGCGAAACTCCTCCTATGCCTTGAACTTCCGAATATCGAGTCTGTTTAGAAACAGGCAGCAAAAGTCGCTTACAACATGAAGCAGAAATATAATCACTTTGAGAGCCAGGATCCACGTGTCAGCTCAAGAAGTGAGTGTGGTTAAATTTATCAATAACTTTAATTTTCAGTCTTTCGGTACACTCCACACGCGATACATCTAAGTGATAATTTTAATTGAAATTACCGGGAATTAAGTGTTTTTTGAAGTACGAACTTAATAAAACAGTGACATTGACTACTAATTTACACAGTGACATAATAATTTCTTTGATTACTCTTCAATAAATAGTGAAAAAACTAAAAAACACATCTGTGATAAATAATAACAGTGACTAGCCAGCGTTGTTTGTTGAAACGCGTAAGCGACCCGTATTCCACGGCGGTTACGCTCTTTTGGACGCGAACTCTTACCAGCTGAGTGTGCTTGTACTTTGAACTTTTACTTGCTTACCCACTAATAACTTGGGGATATTTGATCATTACAACAATAAATTAATATCTACTGTACTATGAATTGCGGTAAATGTGCTGAAGTTTTGAATTCTGAGGATCTAATTAAATGCAACTCATGTCATGGTACTTTCCATTATGTATGCGTAGGAATGAATGAAATGGAATTTAAGAAAATATTACCTATGATTAAGATAAAATGGAAATGCCAATCGTGCAAATCAGGAAAGAAAAATAGCAATATTTTTTTTTTTTTTTTTTTTTTTTTTTTTAGTTCGTCACATTCTATAATCAATATAGATGCTAACTCGATTATGGACCACATCGATACAAAGTTTGATGCGTTGCAATTGACCATCAATTCTCTAAAAACGGACGTAAACAGCCAGCTAATGATACTCTCAACTAAGGTCAGTGCATGGGAGTCTAAGATTAGTGAGTTGGTATCTACCATGTCTTCTGTCAACGAAGAAATTTCTAATCTCAAAGATGTGAATGTAAAACTGAAGCAAGAGCTCGATGATTTGCGCTCGAATATGAATAACATCTCTGAAAGTAACCATCGAAATGAGCAATGGGTTCGTCGCTCAAATATACAAATTAATGGAATTCCTGAGAAAAAAAATGAGAATCTTTTGAGCTTGGTTAAAAATCTGGCAGTTAGATGCAACTTTGCTATTAACATGGACACCGACATCGACTTTGTCACTCGAATAGCAGTAAAGAATGACGTCGATAATAAGACACCTAAACCGATTATCCTAAAAATGCAATCTAGATATAAGAAGGATGATTTTTTGCTATCTTTACGCAAATTAAAAAATTGCACTGCTGGTGAAATAGGTATATCGGGTATTCAGAGCTCCAAGAGGATATTTTTCAACGATCATCTGTCTGCTAGAAATAAACATCTACTCAGAGAAGCCAAACGGTTAGCAAAGGAGAAAGCATATGCGTATTGCTGGGTTAAAAACTGTACTGTCATGGTGCGCCGCAGCGATCTGTCGCCGATCATTCACGTCACTTCGATAGCTTCGTTAAACAAGATCGTATGAGAACTATTGCAGCTGCTTATACATATTTATTCTGGTTCTTTGAGTATTTTTTGTTTTATTATGTGATAAGTGGTAACTATGCATATGTAACTGTAAATTTTCACAAAAATATTTCTTGTAACATTCGTGTGTTGTTTTCAAGTATTAATGAGTGGGTATATTCATGAGTTTTTTAATTACTCTATGCTATGTGGTAACTTTGTTTATGTTAATTATTACGAAAATATTTATTTCAACTTTTATACTGGCATGATGTTGCAAACATTAGTAAGCTGTTATATCTATGAGTATGCCAATGCATTAAATCCTCGTGTGTTGGAGCATAATAACCTTTACTTTATATTCTTAAATTTTATATATTATTTAATAAATGCAACTTATTGTATTCGTTGCAACGTCATAAAAGGGATACTAGTAAAAATATTTATATATAATGGGTCTTAACGTTTTTTATCAAAATGTTAGAGGTCTTAGGACAAAAGATAGGATTTTTTACCGAAACATGTTGAACTCTGATTATGATATTATATGTTTGACTGAGACTTGGCTGTATCCGGGAATATTTGATGCTGAATTGTTTGACTGTCGTTACAATGTGTACCGTGCCGATCGTGATTACGCTAGATTAGGTATTGAAAGAGGAGGCGGTACCTTAATTGCGGTTCGCCGTGGGATAAGTGTAAGTATGCAAGGAATGCGTGTGTTGCCCTTCGTGCATGATGCTGATGTTACTAGTGTAAATATTTTATTAAATCGGGCCCCGACAACTATTATGCTTCGACTATTTTGCTGCTACTTCCCACAAAATGCAAACCAGGCTACGGCAGTATTATCTTTTTATGAATTTATTTCTAACCTCAGAATTGAGTATCCCAGAGACAAATTCTTACTGGTAGGCGATTTTAACATCAGAGTTGCTAAATGGAGCATAAGTCCTAATTTCCTAAATACTAAATTACTTCTTGAAAATCCTTACGATAACATCTTTCAATTCTAACATATACATATATAATACATATATAACATCTTTTCTCTCAATTATTTGCATTTTTATGTTTTAATGATTTGTCACAATATAATAATGTCAGCAACAAGAACAATAGGATGTTGGATCTGGTGGTATCGGACTCTGAATGTTCGGTACAACGAGACGTGCCACTGTCACTGCCCGAGGATGAACACCACCCTTCACTTAATATTACGATTAATATTAGTCACAAATCGGGTTTGTCTCAGGCAGCTCGCATGATAAGACGCTTTCATGCAGCCGATTATGATAAAATTAACTATGAACTATCAAAGGTTGATTGGGAAATGCATTTGGATCCAAGTAACATTGATGCTGCAGTAGAATCTTTTTATAAAATTATTAATGATTTAATAGATAAGTTTGTTCCTCAAAAATCGGTTAAAAGTGATAGTAAATATCCGGTTTGGTTCGATAAGAATTTAATGAAACTTATTAATAGAAAATTGAAACTTCATAGGAAATGGAAAATTTACGGAAGAAATAGTGATTATAATGAGTTCTCGAGAGCGCGCCGGGATGTCAAAGCCTTGGAGATTCTGAATTACGATAAATATATAGGTCTTACCGAGAAATGTATTAATTTCAGCACAAGGAACTTCTGGTCGTTTATCAAGTCTAAGCGTAATACCAGAGATATTCCTGACACCTTATACCTTGGGAATACTCATGTATCTGAAGGTCAATCAGTAGCTAATCTTTTCAACTCGTTCTTTCAGTCTGTTTTCGAACCACCTACAAATAGCCGTGTACCCACTAATACAATAAATAATACTTTTGTAATCAGTTCCGTTTACATCGATAACTCAGTAGCTGAGAAATATCTAAGACAAATTGACGTTAATAAGGGAACCGGTCCCGATGGTATCCATCCAATCCTTCTCAAACGCTGTCATAAACAGTTAGCAAGTCCTCTTGCAAGACTTTTTAATATTTCTTTAAGTTCAGGCGTTATGCCTAGAATATGGAAACAATCAATTATCGTTCCTATTTTCAAAAATGGTGATAAGCATAATATTGCTAACTATCGTGGTATCTCGAAACTGTCCATAGTGCCTAAACTCTTTGAGAAAATAATATACGACACGTTATCTTCTGTAATAAGACCATTGATTACGCCTAGTCAACACGGATTCATTAGTGGCCGGTCTACAGAATCTAATCTGTGTGAGTTTTACATTTTACCCTTGAGGCAATGGAAAAAGGATATCAGGTGGATGCCGTGTATACCGATTTTTCTAAAGCATTCGATAAAATCTCGCATAATTTATTGATAAATAAACTTGAAGAACTCGGTATTCACGGGGATCTCTTGAGATGGTTGACCTCTTATATGCGCGACAGGCCCCAGGCAGTGGCAGTCAAAGGTTATACCTCTAGCTTTATTCCCATAACTTCTGGTGTGCCACAGGGTTCCCACCTCGGTCCTCTTCTATTCAATGTATTTATCAATGGTATCGTGCATTGTTTTAATAATTCTAAATCTCTTATGTATGCTGACGATACTAAAATATTTACTCTTGTTAGATCTGTAGAACATTGTCACCTGTTTCAAGAAGACTTAAATAAATTTTATGAATATTGCTCTATAAATTTTCTAAAGTTAAATATTGGTAAATGTCACTCAATTACCTTTTCTCGCAAGAAAAGACCCATTAGTTATGATTATAAATTTAATAATACCACAATAGACAGAGTGACCGAGGTGAGAGACCTGGGCGTATGCCTCGATAGTGAACTGAACTTTGCTTCGCATATTGATCAGGCTGCAGCCAAGGCTTATAAAATGCTGGGTTTTGTTTTTCGACAGTGCAAAGACTTCAAGAATGTCAATACATATATTATATTGTATAACTCCCTGGTCCGAAGTCATTTAGAATATGCTTCGACAGCATGGAACCCTCATTATGCCAAGCATATAGACCAGGTAGAAAGTA